AGCCTCCGAGAATACATGTGTTTTGTTTTCATATATTATCATGAAGGACACATCTGCCCGAAAAGTGAACTAATTACGATTTTTTCATCTAGTGAATTGAGCTTCCATTAGGCTAAAACTCGGCCTTATAGTAAGGTTTTGTTATTGCTTTGGGAAAATAGATAAGCGAGTAGTTTTCTGAGACAAGAACAGCAACAAAAGCAATAGAATAAACCAATATAGATACGCTGTTTCTGATAAAAAGAAAATAATCAGTTAAAGTTAAGCATCTATTAAAAAGCATCAATAACACTTTTGCTGGTGATCAATATGTGTTAGGTTCGCTGCTACTACTATTAGACCTTTGTCTTTAATAAATGACAGTACAGTTTGTATTCTTTGAGTAGTCTAAGGTACTACGTAATCAGAAAAATTCTATCAAATACATACGTCATTAAAATTCACTAAAACTTGGTGAGAAAAGCTGTTGATCATTTGAAGAAGACTGAAAAATTTCTCGTCGTCTTCTGAAAACCAGATAAAAAATTAGAAATCTAAGCTCTTGCTCCGTGAATGCGTTTTAATGGTTTCTAAATATAAGAAAAAGTCCTCATTAAATAATTCACTTAAATAAATTTAGCCACAATAAAATTCAAATAAGAATTATAGTTTGAGCAATTCTTTTTAAAATATTTTAAAATGTGTAATACTGTACTAATGTGTAGCTGAAAAACTAACGATTCTATACACTTTCCTGGCAGCATTTCTAAGGCGTAATTCGAAATTTGCACATGTTTTGTTTTCCTTTAAATGACACATATTCTAAGGCGTCTTGGTCTGCTGATCACGAATCTGATCTATTTTTCCAGTTTTCAAAGTCGCTTCATGGAGAAAATTGTACGACAATGAGAACTTCTGAAAACAAAATAAAATGCCGCCTCAAAAACTAAGCTATCTCCGTCAAATTAAATTCGAAAATTTTTCTAAAATTATATTCAAATTCCTCGCGCAAAACTGACAATAGACAACTGTTTTCAAGCTTTATCCCGATTACAAAAATTTTCAAAGCAAAACACCTCGACTTTGCGCATCTTGCATTAAATCAAATTTTGTCGATTCCACATAATAACTAGCGCCTTCGAAAGCCTCACTTCTCTGTGTCTCGAGGCCGCATAATGCGTTCAAAGACGACTTTTAGAAGATTCGTGATTTAACGCATTGAACACCTTGGAAGGCGATATTGGATCTGCAGGTTGTGGTACCATTTTGATTCTTCTAGGACATGAGAACGCATTAGCGGGTACATAATCAAAAGATCAAGCAAAATTTCTATTTACTATTACATTGCTTGATAAAGCCTATCCAGTTGATTATGAGAATGTATTCTAATTTTTGGAAAAACTCATTTCTATTTTACGATTCTATTCAGGACGATAATGAATATGCGAAAGGCTTTGAAAAGTAATTTTTTCTGATATTATTTCTCAAGTCATATCGTAAGAACAGCTATAAAGGAGCAAATGAGATCACATTAGGTGATTCTAATAGAATTAACAGCAACTTTGAATATTTTATTTTTCATTATTATTTTATAAAATAATAATGAAAAATAAAATATTCAAAGCTACTGTTAATTCTTGTCCAAATTATTACATCAATAAAAGAATTACATACATATTACATTAAATATTACGTCAATAAAAGAAATTATTTAGGTGATTCTCTTGTATTCCAGCTGAAATTCGATCGAAGCGGTTTCTATCAGATTAAACGTTAAAAATCATACGAGCAGCATAACCTAATATGGCGATGATGAGTATCACAATTTCAAGCTTTAATAAAAAGCATAATGACATACAAGTTTTACACATGTGAATGCGTTAAGGCTAAATACAACAGTATTTATAAGATTGCATGAATATATTTTTTTTGCACACTGTCTTCTTTGGTTTCAAATCGCACTCTTCTATCCCAGTTACATTGCCAATAATGTGTCTGAAATGTTGAAACAAACTCATTGTAATTTTCTTCATCTCTATAAGGTATTTTAATTTTAAAGTGTAGTTCAATCAATGTTTTCAAGCCTGATAATGTTTCCTCAAGTAGCAAACCATTAATCGTTGTGTATAATAGGTTTCCATTGTATTTGAATTTCAAATGTTTTAAGTGTTTCAAATGTCGAACAATATAATCCAAATCATCATATGTTAATTCATAACTATGGAATGTGAAATCGGTTAAACTAGATAAATTTTCATTTGGTCGTGGTGGTACAAATGGTCCAAAAAAAGCGAATGAAGTGATTCTTGAACATCTATTTAAAATAATATGTAAGCGCTTTAAATTAGGAAAACGCTCAAAGACATAACGAAGGTCATCTAGACGGCAGATATTAAGTGTCAAATGTTCAATGTTCCTTCAATAAAACAAAAAAAAAATGAGATGATGTATTTAGAGAATGGACTGGATTATATTAAGGAACTAAGCAGGCTCTGGATTTTTGCACTTTCATAGGTTATGCTGGATTTATTCTAATTGATAATTCAAATTAGAGTCTTATCGACACATCGACTATTCCAAGAGCGTCTGTTCCTCGAATTATCATACATAAAAAGTATAAACTTTCAGTTTCTCTAGTACTCGTGTTCTAAACTCTAAAAGAATAATCACACAACGATTTGTCTGAATTTTCCTCCTATCATATCTTTCATATCAGTTTCCTTAAAGTAGTGTTCATGTTGTAGGTTTCATGCTGCATCATGCAGTTATCTAAGCTCACGTATGAGAGTGGCTTCGAAAAGTAGTTTAGATAAGTTATCAGGAGTGATCACGCTGTCTTCAATCTGTTTTCTTCACAATTAACTTTGCAAGCCAGTGTGTGCCCCCAAACAATGCCTCCTTTTCTGCTCTAAAAACCCCTAGAAAACTCGGTCTGCCATAGAGTCATATAGCGAGAAAATGTATATGAAGAGGTTAGACTTCTTCTTTACATACCGTATAATTTCAGTATTGACCAGTCGAAAATCCACACCAAACGGACTGTGAACATCACAGACGTTCAGTGACACCAATTGATTAAATATTTTCTCATACAACACTATTAATGAATAAGTTGGCCTAACCTCCAGACTTGTTCCCAATCGGATAGTTATCTGAGATGTATTGACAATCTTCAATAGTAATAACTCTAATTGATCAACAGTCTTTGGTAATTCGATCAATTCAACAATTTTTAAATTCGGTAACACCAGTCGTTGCAGTTGTTCTGTATGGTCTAACTGTCCGTTGAGACGAAATGTATGAACAAATTCTCCTTCAAATTGTAAAATCGTGCTACACACATAGTCAGATTTAATGCGTGAATGTTCATCATTACACGTTAAATCTATATTACGAAAATAGAATTTTTCCCATAATAAATTGTACAGTCGTTCATTAAAATTTGAGAATGAATAAAGAACATCCAAAGACTTTAGATATTGAAATATTTCAAATAAAACCAAATCCGGCAGATCATTAAAACAGGATGCCATCATTTGTCTTCTAAACAAAACACACTGAATGAAATTTAACGAATAATGAGCGATTGCCATAAATGTTATCTGCTCATATATATCCACCTGGTATATGTATCAGTCAAAACATTCATTCCGAAGCATTTCGATAACCAAAGATAATATCATGAAATCATGGCTAAATAATTTTTTATTATTCTAATGAAGAGGCTCCAGCTCTCTCAACATCTGTTCATTTCAATGGAAGTTATTGAAATATAATAACAAAGTGTCCATTTCTTATAAGAGGCATATCGTATTTTCTCTTCAAAATAAAACTAAACCTAATCGTTACCTTGAGGCTACTTCACTTGTATGGGTAGTTCAAATGGAAGAGTGCGGACGAAGATTATGACAGCTAAACAAACTAGAAAATTATAGAAACAAATGGCCTCAGCACCATGCTCCTTGGTTCTTGCCGGGTTTAGTTTTGACGAGAAAAGAGAAAAGAGGTTATACGTTAATTGAAGAACACATTACAAACATAAAACTGAGAATAGAGAGAGAGTATAAATAACAGTCTAATAGATTGAAACTCTAAAGTTTGAAATTTTTTAACATATAACTTACATAAGAATTGTTCGGCGTTATTATAGTGGGACTCAGGTTTTTAGAACCTTTTCTTAATAAAGTACCCAGGTCGCACGAAATGAGACATAAATGAGACATGTATGGCTCATTTATGATATGAAGTGAAAATGATCATATTATAATCGTAAAATGATTTAAATATGAGCTTAAAATGATATCATATTTGACTCATTTTAAGACTATTTCATAAAATGAGATAAAAATGATTTATATATGATATAATTTGTAAAAATGATCTAAAAATGATCTATTTATGTATCATTTTTATATCATATCTAT